AGATACTTTGAGACTATATAAGTAGTCTCAAATAATAGATACGTTGAAACTATGTAAGCATCCTATTACTCTCTAAAGTTTTACTCAGTGGTTTTAGCATTAGTTGAATATTCTTGCTTGAAACAATGATGATGATGATGACAAAATGGTTATCTCTAATCCAACTTTCCTTCCATATTTACCAATCAGCATTCTTGTGTAAATAAGATCCCTCTCGTTCCCCTATTCTTTATTTATATCAGTAGAGAATACAGTTGACCCTTGAACAACATGGGTTTGAACTGTGTGGGTCCACTTATACATGGATTTTTTTCTTATAAATGTATTTATAAGAAAATGTATTTTCTTATGTACTTATAAATGTATTTTCTCTTCCGTATGATTTTCCTAATAACATTTGTTTGGGTCCAGCTTACTTTATTGTAAGAATACACTATGCAATACATATAAAACACAAAATATGTGTTACTTAACTGTTTACGTTATCATTAAGTCTTCCTGTCAACAGTAGGCTATTGGTAGTTAAGTTATACATGGATTTTTGATTGTGTGGGAGTCTGTGCCCCTAACCCCCGCATTGTTCAAGGGTCAACTGTAGTAGATTCCTACTTTATTTGATGGCCTATAGTCTGTTACTATGATTATGCATTTTGATGCTGAAATTGTTTCAGACTTGGCCAGTGGCAAGACCTTCAATCGGTGTCTTTTGATGTCTGAGATTCTTTGAACACTTCCTTGTTTTCTTGCACAAGATGATCCATGTTCATTTTGTACTTTCTCTGTCCTAGAATCAACTACTTCAACAAGAAGACTTCATTTCTTTTAGAGGGGAATGGTATTTAGAAACCAAGGTCTGGTTGTCCCTAAGAAGTTTTAATGAACACCTGCTCAGCCTCATCCCAGATTATGCTCTTTTTAGCATGTTTCCATTGTAACATGTGGTTTCTCTTTTCATCTTGCTCATTGCTGAGTGCTTCTACCTAGATATTGCCTTTGCTCTGATAGATTCAAGGAATTTCTTTCCCAGCAGGTCTGAGACCTGTTTGTTTCCCCATGGGACTACACACACACTTTGAGGGTACCTGTCTGTTCAGTGAGTGTGCCTTTTCACATTTTCAAAAAGAATTATCTTCATTGTTCATTCAATCCATTTTACTCCAACAATTTTTCTGTTTCTTCTCATTCAGAATGGGAAGAGGGTGAGACATGTGACATGTGGGCTCTTTCCATAGTTTGGGTATTGTGCACATTGCTGCTATAAACATTGGGGTGCAGGTCCAATCATCCTTATTTTCATCTTTTATTTCCTGCTTTGACCACTAGTTTTTGAATGTTATGGTATTAGGTTATTGTTTCCTATTGGTCACAAAAGAAGAAAATCCAAAAGACTGATATATTAAAATTTTCTTATAAACTCTGCATGGAAATCATAAGGAGATACCACTGCAGAAAATGTAAGGAAATGTCTAAAATGTAACAGACAGACAATACCAAGGCTGTTGAGCACATGGAATAATTGGAATGTTTTATATTCCTTAGGAAAGTGTAATTGGAACACTTTGGAAACTGACCTAGCTATCAAAGCTAAACATATATCTACTCTATACCCAGAAATTATATTCCTGGACATAATCCAAGGGAAATAAGTGCTATGTCCACTAAAAGATTCTTACAAGATTGTACATAGTGGTTTTATTCATAATAGCCCCAAAGTAGAAACAACCCAATTGTCCTTCAGCAGGACAATAGACAAGCAAACTGCGGTATGTTCACACAATCGAATATTACACAGTAATAAGAAACAGCATCCTATGATTATATCTATTTATATTATAGATTTACAGATGAATCTCACAGACACTAAATTAAGTTCATAATATATATTGGAATTTATATGAAGTTTATAAACAAGCAAAGGTGAAATAGGTGAAGGGGATTAAGAGTCCACTTATGATGAACATTGAGTAAGTATAGAATTGTTGAGTCACTACACTGTACACCCAAAACTAATATAACACTGTATGTTAACTCTACTGGAATTAGAAAAAAAACAAGCAAAGCTCATCTATGTTGATAGAGGTTAGAATAGTGCTTTTCTTTTGGGTGTAGGGGCTTGTGAGGAAGTACAAAGGAGCCTTTCTGAATGCTGGAAATATTTTATATCTTGATATGGGTGGTGGTTATATGGGTGATTACATATGTGAAAATGCATCAAAATGGGCTCTTAAGTTTTAATTTGTTCATGTTACTTCAAATTGGACCTCAATTAAAATATTTTACATGGAAGAAAAAAGGATTCAGAAAATGATAATTCCTGTAGATTAAAAATCAAATGGATCTATGATCAAGTAATCTTGGACAAAGCAAGAAAGAATATCCAATGGAAAAAAGACAGTCTCTTCAACAAATGGTGTTGGGAAAATTGGACAGCCACATGTAGAAGAATGAAACTGGACCACTTTCTTACACCATACACAAAAATAAACTCAAAATGGATGAAAGACCTAAATATGAGACAGGAATCCATCAAAATCCTAGAGGAGAACACAGGCAGCAACCTCTTCGACCTTGGCTGCAGGAACTTCTCACTAGACATGTCTCCAAAGGCAAGGGAAACAAAAGCAAAAATGAACTGTTGGGACTTCATCAAGATAAAAAGCTTTTGCACAGCAAAGGAAACAGTCAACAAAACCAAAAGACAACCTACAGAATGGGAGAAGATATTTGCAAATGTCTTATCAGATAAAGGGCTTGTATCCAAGATCTATAAAGAACTTATGAAACTCAATATCCAAAAAATAAGTAATCCAGTCAAGAAATGGGCAGAAGACATGAACAGACATTTCTCCGAAGACGACATCCAAATGGCCAACAGACACATGAAAAAATGCTCAACATCACTCAACATCAGGGAAATACAAATCAAAACCTCAATGAGATACCACCTCACACAAGTCAGAATGGCTAAAATGAATGAGTTAGGAAACAACAAATGTTGGCAAGGGTGTGGAAAAAGGGGAGCACTTTTACACTGCTGGTGGGAATGCAAGCTGGCGCAGCCGCTCTGAAAAACAGATGGAGGTTCCTCAAAAGGTTGAAAATGGAGCTACCCTATGACCCAGCAATTGCATTACTAGGTATTTACTCAAAGGATACAAACAGAGTGATCCAAAGGGGACTTGCACCCCTATGTTTATAGCAGCAATGTGCACAATACCCAAACTACGGAAAGACCCCACATGTCACATGTCCATTAGCAAATGAATAGATAAAGAAGATATGATATATCTCATTGAGGTTTTGATTTGTATTTCCCTGATGTTGAGTGATGTTGAGCATTTTTTCATGTGTCTGTTGGCCATATATATATATATATACACACACACACACACACACAATGGAATAGCACTCAACCATCAAAAAAAAAAGAAATCTTACCCTTTGCAATGATGTGGATGGGACCAGAGAGTATTATGCTAAGCAAAACAAATCAATCAGAGAAAGACAGTTATATGGTTTCACTCTTATGTAGAATTTAGAAACAAAACAGAATCATAGGGGAAGGGAAGGAAAAATAAAATAAGATGAAATCAGATAGAGAGACAAACCATAAGAGACTCTTAACTATAGGAAACAAACTGAGGGTTGCTGGAGGGGAGGTGGGTGGGGAAGTGGGGTAACTGGGTGATGGGCATTAAGGAGGGCACTTGATGTAATGAGCACTGGCTATTGTATGCAACTGATGAAGCACTGAACTGTATCTCTGAAACTAATAATACATTATATGTTAATTAATTGAATTTAAATAAAATTTAAAAAATCAAATGGAAAAAGTTAAATTTAGCAATGCTGTAAAAAGCATCTCTTATATATTTAAAAATCCAAATCAGAAGGAAAACATAGTATTAAAAAAGATTAGAAATACTAGATTTCCATTCCTTTCTTCTCTTTTGTTCAGTTTAAACATAATGAAAGTTATATCTTGTACATTTGAAAGAAATTGCCTGTAAGCCACTCTGGGTACAATGTCTTTCAATGGATTTCTTCGACTTTTCCAGAATTTTCTTATTGTCATGGTTCTGTTAACATCTTCTGCTTACTTTTGAATTAATCCTGGTGTCATTGTTCCTACAATGTTATTTTATGCATTTTTTTTTTAAATGAGAGATGGATTTGTTACTCTCTGTATTATCTTGATTAGATTACTTTTCTTGATCAAATTGGCCAGTGGTGTTTACTTTTTCTGTCTTGGCCACTCATTTTTCAGTTGTTTGGTTCTTTTCCCTCCTGGATGTTTTCGAGACATTCTTCTGCTTTCATTGAGCTTGCAGTCTAGTTATGCAAACACCTGTTTGGTAGGAAGAAGAGTCCCCGGCCCCTTTAAAAAAAAATAACTGATAATTTTAGAAACTCTTCAGTGGGTAATTTAGAAACCCTCAGCGAGTTTTTAGGTTTTATTTAAAAATTATTTTTAGTTTGATGTGTCTTTTAAAAAATCTTTTTAATTTCTAATTCGCTTTCAGGCAATTATCTTTGCCTTGAGAGGTTCGTCCTAGGGAATTAGCCAATCCCACGGTCTCACTTGTTTAGTCTGGCTTAGTTTTATCAAACTAAACTACTGTTTCTGGGCTTAAAGAAATAAACCAACTATTCTGGTTTTGATTTTTTTTAAAAAAAAGATTTAATTTAATTTATTTATTAGAGAGAGAGCGCGAACAGCAGGCAGAGGGAGAAGCAGGCTGCCCACTGAACAAGAGCCCCATGGGGGAGTCAATCCCAGGACTCTGGGATCCTGACCTCAGCCTAAGGCAGAAGCTTAACCGACTGAGCCACCCAGGGTCCCCTGGTTTTGATTTTTATCATCTGTCAGACTACTAGAATTCAAAGACCCAGGAAGACAAGCAAAGCCCCAACCCATTATAAGGCGCTCTCAAATCCTGTGATTCTTGCCCTCATCTATCCATCTCTCGCGAGATTTGGAAACCGGAAGTGAATTCTATTTCAGGCGTCTTTTCGAGGGGTGCGCTCAGTCAGTGTTGGCGGGAGCTGAGCGATCAGTCCGCGCTTTGCTGTCCGCCCTGGGCTGGCTCTGGTGTAGGGGCTTGCGGGCAGCGCTCCCCGCCTCGAGCCGGCAGGATGAGGGTGGCTGTGGCCGGCTGCTGCCACGGCGAGCTGGACAAGATCTATGAGACGCTTGCGCTGGCGGAGAGGCGCGGCCCCGGGCCGATAGATCTTCTGCTGTGTTGCGGCGACTTCCAGGCGGTGCGCAACGAGGCCGACTTGCGTTGCATGGCCGTCCCGCCCAAGTACCGCCACATGCAGACCTTCTACAGGTGAGCGGCGCGGCCCGGGCCCCGGACCCGGCGGTGCGAGGTGTGACTATCCAGCAGTGAGTGGGAGAGAACCCGAACTGGGTTCGAATTCCCCCCCCACCCCCCTCCACTGACTAGCTGTCTTACTTAGTTACCTTCTTTGTTCACGCTGTGTCTAGGAAAGGTTGCTTAGTAAATGTCACTTTTCTCATTTCCTTTCACCTGTCTTGTCTGTTTTCGGAAATCGAAGCCTGAGGGAAAGACCTGCCGGAAGAAGCTGACAGGTTAATCTACCTTGTACTTGATAGGACTCTGGGACTGCTTTATTTACTGATCCAGGAGTTTTTATTGGACGCCTGCTTAGTGCTCGTCCGCGTTCTAGAAGCTAAGGTTAAGAACTGACAAAGTTCTTAACCTCATTGAACGCACTCTGGCTTTGAACCCAAGGTGTCAGCCCCTTCATTCTTAAGGACAAGTATAGGCAATTCGTTTAGAGTTTTTTATAGTGCGCTCAGATTTTTCCTTTGGATCTTATTTTGCTTTTCTGCTATGCCCAATTTTATAGGCACGAGTTACTGCTTTTCTCTATGTCTGATTTCTGCTATGCCAACTGACAACTTTACCCTTATGTTCTAGGTATTACTCTGGAGAGAAAAAGGCCCCAGTTCTCACAGTCTTCATTGGGGGAAACCATGAAGCCTCAAATCATTTGCAAGAGTTACCCTATGGTGGCTGGGTGGCGCCAAACATTTATTATTTAGGTATGTGTTAGTGAGTAATGTTTTGATTTGTTTGGAATGGAAGAGCCTGTCAGGATTTGTATAATAGTTGGGCAGCATCTTGAGATGTATAGTTTTTTGGGGAATGCCTCTTAATTTAAATAGTTAATTATGAAAATTTAAATAAAACAGTTAATTTAAGTAGGTAATCATGAAAATATGTCCATGCTTCATCTAGTGTTTTAAGCAATATAGATAATGTAGTAATAATAAATATAATTGTAAAGGCCTTTTACACTATTTGCAATCCCTTTATTTTTCTTACTCTATTAAATTAAGAAAACTTAAACTTATTATAATGGAAATTGTTAGACATACACAAAAATACAGAATAGTATAATGAGTCTTTGTACCTATTAACCAGCTTCAACAACTATTATCATTCTGCCATCTTTATATCAACCCCACTCCCCTCCAGACTTGTTTGTGGGAAGAAGTGACTGGAGTATTGTAAAACAAATCCCAGCCATCAGATTATTTCACCTGTGAATACGTCAGTACATATTTTTAAGAGATAAGGATTTTTAAAAATATCACAGCTACAGTACCATTATTATACTTAACTAAAATAGCAGTAATTCCCATTATCTGTTGCCTAGTTCATGTTCAGATTTCTGTGATTATCACAAAGAGGTTGGTTTTACAATTGTCTTGTTCAAATAGACTCCAAACCAGGTCCACACATTTCATTTGACTGTCATGATTCTAAAGCCTCTTAGGCTGTAACGGTCCCTTTTTCTCCCCCACCGCATGTTGTTTATTTGTTGACGAAAATGAGAAATTTGTCTTATAGAATTTCCTGCTTTCTGGATTTAGCTGATTGGAATTTCTTATGTTATTTAACATGTTCCTTTTATCCTCTGCTTTACTTGTAATCTGTGTTTAGATTCAGGTTCAATTCTAGTCCTGTTAGACTATACAGGCCTTTCTTCTCTTTATTTAAATGTCTATAGCGGGGCACCGGGGTGGCTCACTCAGTTGAGCATACAACTCAGGGTTTCGGCTCAGGCCATGATTTCAGCATTGTGAGATAGAGCCCCACGTTGGTCTCCTTGCTCAGCGCGGAGTCTGCTTGAGAGATTCTCTCTCTCCCTCTGCACCTCCCCTAGCTCGTGCTTTCTTTCCCTCAAATAAATAAAATCTTTATAGCTCTAATGATGACATCATAATTTAAGAAATGTAATTTCTCTACTTCGTTACTGGTTGATTTTTTGACAGCTGCAATATTGTGAGAAGGTGTTTGAAGATGGTCAGTCAGAAATGAAATATAGAAACTGCAGGTTCTTTATATCTGTTGACTTTCAGATTTATAACCTATAAATCCATCATAGGACATTTTTCCTTATTCCCCCCCCAACCCACTGTAAAATTCGATTAGGTACCAAATTATGTCTGTTTCTCCCTTAACACACCTAATCTCATTTGTTCCTTCCCTTCTGCTTAGTCTCTTGCCTCTCTGCTTCTAGGCCTCTCCTCCCTAGTCTGCCTTATATATTGTTGGCATATCACTATGTAAGAGAGTAACTTCATCATGACATTTAATTTTCAAATAATTTTAGGACTGCATGGAGTTCTAGGCCTTTAAACTATTCATTTAGTTAGTAAAGAGATTGCTTCTGCCTATGGTAATTTTATTTAACTGTGTGCTTTTTCAGGTTTGGCTGGTGTAGTAAAATACCGAGGCGTAAGGATTGGTGGCATCTCTGGTATCTTTAAATCTCATGACTATCGAAAAGGTATTATTCTAAGAATTGTTTTTAAGCTTTAGAACTTGCATGCTTCAGAGTAACTTAAGCGTAATATATAGTTTGACTTTTTCATTGGATTTTTTCTCTGAACTATTATTACTTTTTTTAATGAAATATTTTATACATAGGAAAATGTTGAGAACACTAGAACATACTATTTACGTATCCACCATCTAGTTTTATCAAGTCTTTGTATTTTGTAACTTTTAGTTAGGATTTTGAAGAAATGAAACAGTATAGATACAGTCAAAGCTCACTGTTTATCTGTCCTCAGTCCCATTCTTCTCCTTTTATCCTTCCCTTTCCTCACCAGGCAGTCATTCTTCTGAATTTGGTATTTGTCATTAGCTTGATTACGTCATTACGAGTTGTGTAACAGCTTTAAACAGTGTATGATATAGCATGTTTTAAACTTCATGTGAATGTATCATTTTGCATGTATCTTCCTGCAGCTTGCTTCATTGTTTACTATTTAGTTTTTGGAATCCATGTTGATATATCTCACTCTATTCATTTTAATTTGTGAGTAGTATTCCATTGTAGAAGTATACCACACTGTACTTATTCATTCCACTGTATCTGAAAAGATTATACCTTGGTTTTCAAGTTAAAGGAATAACTTGGGTTCACATTGATTTCAAATTTTTATGAGTTGGCAGCTAAAACTTATATTCTCAATGTAACTGTTAAATCACAAGTCTGTTCCCTGCTGCGCTGTTCCCCATGATTCTAAACTATTGGCACAGGAGTACAAAAATAGGCCGTCTCCTTCATGGCAAGTGTGGGTGCAAATTTCCTCCCACTCTTTGGAGGACAGCTGGTAGTCTGTGGAAATTATAAAACCCAGGAGTTCTATTTCCAGGAATGTAATTTACAGATATATTCCGTAAGTGCAAAATGATGTGTACACATTTTTTTATTTCAGCCTTGTTTGTAATGACAAAAGGTAGGAACTAATTAACTGTATCATGATAATACAATGTAGTGCTATGAAGCTATTTTTTTTTTTAAAAAGGAAGAGAAGCAGCTCTATGTGTGACATATACAAAGAACGCCAAGATAAGTGCAAAAAACAAGGCACAGGACATGTATAAACTATACTGCCATTTGTGTAAAAAAAAAAAGGAAGGATAAAGAAGTTTGTGTATTATTATATGCATAGTTGATACCCCTGGAATAAAATACTAAAACCTGATTAACACTGGTTGCCTCTAGGTAGTGTTACTGATAGCTGGGGGACAGGAATAGGAGGATCCCTGCCTCCCATTGTTTTAGCAGCTTTGTAGAGGTAAAATTTACATGTCTTTGGAAGTATACAACTCAATGAGTTTTAGTGACTTTATAGGGTTATGCAACCATCCAGATTTAGAACATTTCTATCATTCCTAAAAGTTTTGTAGTTAATCTCTGCTCCCACCCCAGCCCTAGGCATCACTGGTCTACTCTCTGGAGGAACTCTTCTCATTCCATTCTGATGGTATCTTTTAAATTTTTAAACTATGAATAACCAACATATTCCATATTAAATATAATTTAATTTAAAAAATCATAAGCCCCTCAGTTATTTAGATTTATAGTTAGTGATCACTTATTAGTAGAAAATACCAGCACTTTAAGAGCAGTGTCTTCGTAAAATTTTTAAGAACCAAAAGCATTAATGACAGACCTCAGTTTTGAAGTGTATGTATATATTTGTATTTGCGCTATTTAAGGGAGTTGAATATAGCTTATTTCTCTTCTTTAATTTAAGGTCATTTTGAGTGCCCCCCTTATAATCCAGCTACAATAAGGAGTATATATCATGTGAGAAATATTGAAGTCTATAAATTAAAACAGGTATGTAAAAAGTACATTATAGCAGACTTGAAAAAATGTTAAAGCAATTCTGTACCAAAGTGTATTTTGATCATTTTGGTATACAACTTCCAAGAAGACTTAATTCAGTATTTCTAAAATTTGGATCTTGAGTTGTTTTAGGAGTTTCACAGATGAACATTTTTTAATTCTAATGTTATGAATTTATTTTAGGGAGTAATAATAAAATAGAACATTTAATCCATGACTTCAGATATTACTACTTAGGATAAGGCTAAAGAATATCTATTGACATAAAGTGATACTTTAAAGAAAATATTAAAATATTTTAACTAATGGTATTAAATAGGAAATAAATAGTGGTAAAAATGATAGAAAAAAAATGGTAAAATTGTGAAGGTGGCTTTGGAACACTTGGCTTAACTGGAGAGTAGGTGAAACTAGGTTTTTGTTTGAGAACACATTAAATGCCTGACACTGGGCTAAGCAGTTTTCACACATGATATTTCATATAATTGCCACACAATTCTGTGAAGTAGGTGTTACTCTGACTTTGTCACATTAAGGATGCGAGGTCAAGGCTCAGATAGGTAAGTAGCCTTCCCCGGGATTTCCCAAGGAATTAAGGGGTGGAGCCTGCCTGATGCTCTCAGGCCCTTCCCACCATACCCTACAGTCTCTGCAGGAGCATGAGGATGCTTTGCGGGCATTTCTTTAATACCCTACTCATAACAGTTCCCTACCTTGAATGCTTTTTCCCTTTTCCCCATTTCAGTCCTACCAGTCTTTGAAGAACCAGCTTAGATACCAGTGTTCTAGTTTTTTGTTTGGTTTGGTTTTTTAAGTAGGCTCCATGCCCAGCGTGGGGCCCAATGTAAGGCTTGAACTCATGACCCCGAGATCAAGACCTGAGCTGAGATTAAGGGTCAGACGCTTAACCAGCTGAGCCACCCAGGTGCCCCACCAGTGCTCTGTTTTAAAGCTATCAGCCTATTCTGAAATTTCATTGCACTTACTGCCTGAATCAGTTATTCAGTGATTAGTCATATCTGTCATATCTTGCATCATCTTGAACCACTTAAGTTATTTTAATTTAGTTTTCCAGGTATTTGTTGCAAATTACTTGAAGGTGCTGGGGATCAGTAAAGTATGGAGTGTATTTTGTGGCCTCCCCATGAAGACATCAGCCACCTTAAATACCTCTACTATAATTTATGTAGTAAACACAGTTTTTTAGGTGTATGCTATATGAGTCCATTAGGGAAAAAAAAAGGAATATATACCTTTGGGTTTTACTGTATTATTTACATTATAGATCTCATGAAATCTGGTGTCTCTGTATCTTAAAACAGTTTATTCACTAGAAAGGAAAAGAATGACAGTTACTATATATTTTAGAGGCCCTCTACCAAAGACCATAGCTGGCTGACAGTCTGATCCCAGTGTATCTGTATGGCCCTGCCTTGCCATGGAAAATAGGGGTGATTTGTGAGGAGAGGGAAGGCGGTTTCTCCTGGCTTAGATGAGTGAGCTTAGTATTTCTTAGTGTTTCTGTGACCTTCTTAAATGAAGTTTCCTTAGAATGAATTACAGAGAAATCTAAAGCTCTAAGTGGGCAAACGGTTGTGCGGTAGTGGAGAGAAAGCCAGGGATTGCTTTTGATCTTTTTTTTTTTTAAGTTTTCTTTCTTTTTCTGTTAAAGCTGAAGCAGCCTATGGACATATTCTTATCTCACGATTGGCCAAGAAAGATCTATCATTATGGAAATAAGCAGCAGCTTCTTAAGACAAAATCTTTTTTCCGACAAGAAGTGGAAAATAACACCTTGGGAAGTCCTGCTGCCTCAGAGCTCTTAGAGCACTTCAAGCCCACGTACTGGTTTTCCGCACACCTTCACGTGAAGTTTGCAGCCTTGATGCAGCATCAGGTAGAAACCAAAAATATTTATTCTTTCATTTAACAAACACTTACCAGATATGTGTGGCCTAAGGCACTGTGGGCACAGTTGTAAATTGAGAGAAAGAGATCAAAGATAACTTTGCTCTTGTGAGTAACTCCATATCCTTGGGGGGAAGAGACACGCAGGTGATTATAAAATAGTGTAATAAATTGGTGATGAAAAGTGCCGGGATACCGTGGGAGCACCTCCGCCATACTGCACTGAGATGGGGATGCGGACAGGAGATGAAGAGATGGAGAAGGTTTTCCAGAGGAATCGACTGTGCCAGGAAGCAGTAGAATCTAGGTAACACCATCCGGGTAGAGCGATCAGTGTGTGCAAAGGCTGGTGGCCTGAATGCCTGGTGCTGATACGCACTGGGGGACTGCAGCAGTCCCTATGGCTGAGGCAGAGGGAGAGATGAGGCTGGAACGAGATCATAGCTGCCTTCTGGGCCATGCTCTGGAGTTTGGGTTTTAGCCAGAAGGTAAGGGGGAAAGTTGAGGAGTGATGAAACCAGATTTTCATTTCAGAAAGGTTAGTTTGGTAGCAGTTTTGTGTATGGACTGTAGTAAGTAAAATGGGAGGCATAAAAAGACAAGGTTCTAACCTGCGGTGGAGAGGGAACACAGAGAACGCAGGTTCCAGAGAGATTTTGGAAGCAGAATCATCAGGATTTGGTGACAGAGAGGGACTCCCAGAGTTTTCCTTGGGGAAACTGCTTGGATGATAGTGCTCGATGGAAGGTAGAGAATAAATTTATACTTACAATTAGGCTTTTATGGAAATGGCGTGGCTCTCCCTTTCCCCTCCCATTCTCACCAAGCTCTGACTTGCCCCATAAAGTATTCCATAGAGAAACCATTTAGAAAATGCTGGGTTAACAAGGTTAGAGATTTCTTCTCAAAGGCTTCTATAAAATTTCTGAGAGTCTTTAATGTGTTAATGGGCACTGCCTTTCTCCAAGAGTGGAGTGTGGTGTGCAGTGCTTCCTGAACTTGACCCAACACTTTTCCATGGTGGGGGTACACTTTAATGATGTTCCTCAAATACAGATTGGAAAGTTCTGTTTGAAAATACTCCTGTAGGCCCTTGCTGTTGTGGGCTTATCCTCACTCCCCAGTTTCACTGGGAGGAGGAGGCAAGGTTACTCCTTTTATTTTCCTTTGGGCCACTGCCAAAGTGATTATTCTCTTTTAATGTCCAAGTCATTGGTTTATATCAGTCACCTTTTCTACATCTGTGTTACTCTCTTCTGTCTCCTAGGGCTCATGACACTCCTGGATTTTTATTGAAGCATCAGATTTGGTACTTTCCTCCCCATCCATCTTCTGTCAACCTCAGGGACTTAAATCTCTGAATTAATATGGTTTGATCCCTTTTTCTTAGCTCCTCAACCTCCTCTGACTTTGCCAGTGTTCTGTTTCAGCCCCTTTTTCCAATACCAAAAGTCACCTTTCCTCAGAACTGCCCTGCTGCCATCATCTGCCTGTAATCTGTGTGCCTTGCACCTCTCTTAGTCCCTCACCACCAGTGAACTAAAACCTGGCCCACAGCAGGATGGCCCATAGCCTGCTTCCTTGTCTCTTTTCTTCCATGTGCCTTACTATTCTCCGAGTCACTTTTTTACTGCATCCAGTATGATCTTCGTGTTTGTGACCCACAACCTCCTACCCATGTTTCTTTCTGCCAGTGCATTTTTTTTAAATAGTTTCATTGGAGTATAATTTACATAACATAAAATTCACCTTTTTAAATGTACAGTTCAGTGAGTTTTAGTATATTTCCAGAGTTCCAGATGTTTCCAGAGCAAATATCACATAGCCTAGTTTTAGAACATTTCCAGCACCCCAAAAGATCTTTTGTGTCTATTTGCTGTGAGTCCGTGTTCTCACCCTCAGCCCCAGGCACCCACTGATCTGCTTTGTGTCTCTGTGGATTTGCCTTTTCTGAACACTTATATAAATGGGATCAAAAATCTGTAGTCTTTGGCTTGTGGTTTCTTTCCTTTGCTTGTTTTTGAGGTTCATTCATTCAGCAGGTTTAGTATTTCTTTCATTTTTATTGTTGAACAATCTTTCATTCTGTGAATGTATCATACCTACTTTTGGTGTTGTATCTAAGAGATCTTTGCCCAACCCAAGGTTATAAAGATTTTTCCGTATAATTTCTTCTAAAAGTTGTTTAGTTTTAGCTCTGCCAGATTACTTTTAAGCTCTTCTGTTATCATTAACCTTTGTGTTATGTGCTTTAACAGTATCAATATTATCATCAGCATTTGTGTCTGCTTTGACTTTTGTTAGGAAGTTGAAGCCCAGAGAGTTTAAGTGCCTTGCCTGTCATTTACACAAGTGGTTATAGAACTAACTTACTTTGGAACAGTGACAGTTGTTGCTTGACACACGACTTAGGGGTATGTTTAATAAAGATTGTTTCCATCCTGTTCTGTGTATGAATTACATGTGATATTTTAACATTTTTTCTTAAATCATGGTTCATATTTCTAGGCCAAGGATAAAGGACAGACAGCCAAAGCAACCAAATTTTTAGCCTTGGACAAATGCTTACCACATAGAGACTTTCTTCAGGTAAAATGAAAATGAAATAACTTTGCGATATAGTTTTGCTCTTCCAATGATTAGAAAAATATTAATTTTCCCTTTAGAATTTATTTATGCTCTATAATTTATGTATTCTGAGAATTCTTTGGGAACACTTAAGTTACGTGTTTGTTAGCTATTAAATTGAAATTCTTAGAATATTAAAAGTAGAAATGCATTCTTAAAATTACTGATTTCTTTTCTATAGGTAATAGAAATAGAACATGACCCCAGTGCTCCTGAGTACTTAGAGTATGATATTGAATGGCTCACTGTTCTCAGGGCTACTGATGATCTTATTAATGTGACTGAGCGCCTCTGGAATATGCCTGAAAATAATGGCCTGCATACAAGGTAAGTCTGACCTTATTTAGGGTTTGCTCTCTCTGTTGCATACCCAATTTTTGTCCCCTCCACCTTTTTCTTTTCTTTTTTTAATCAAGGGAATTATTGTTAAATGAGTGTCAGAGTAATTCAGGGTTTACTGACTGGTATGGAAAACTACAAATTTTCCATCAAGGGATATAAAATTGGATGATGGGAATACCAACCCAGATAAGTATATAGATGAATAAGCATGTGTAAAACTAACTATAATATAGTGGAGATTTGGTTAACACATTAAAGTAATTTGTACTTGTTTTAGAGTGTGAGTTAAGTTTTTTCTAAGAATTGTTTTTATTTCAAAATGGTCCTTTGGCAAATTAACTATAATTTTGTTAGATGGAATTTTTATATATGGTTTATATTTTATCCTTGCACATGAAGTCCATAGTTAGATTTCATCTTTTATTGTCTGAGGCTGATAAAATGTAAAAAGCTATTGTTTTGGACTTTTGTAGGTGGGATTATAGTGCAACAGAAGAAGCTATGAACAAAGTATTGGAAATACTGAATCATGACCTCAAAGTTCCATGTAACTTTAGCATAACAGCTGCTTGTTATGACCCTAGCAGGCCACAGACACAAATGCAGTTGGTTCATAGGATCAATCCTCAAACTACTGAGTTTTGTGCCCAACTTGGCATCACTGACATGAATGTCAGGCTTCAGAAGGCCAAGGAAGAACATCACTTGTGTGGTGAATTTGAAGAGCAGGATGACATGGAGAGTAATGACTCTGGAGAAGACCGTAGTGAATATAACACAGATACATCTGCCCTGTCCTCAATTAATCCAGATGAAATAATGTTAGATGAAGAAGAGGAAGATGAAGATAGTATTGTAAGTACGCATAGTGACATGAATACACCATCTGTAGAACCTTCTGATCAAGCTTCTGACTTCTCTGCAAGCTTCTCTGATGTCAGGATCTTGCCGGGTTCCATGGTTGTATCTTCTGATGATACATTGGGTTCCCCAGATGGCAGAGAGGGGAAACTTGGTGAGGCTCCGGAGTCAGAGGATGGAAATGACTTAGAGTTGCCATCGAAGAGGCTGAGTGATGAACATGAACCTGAACAAAGAAAGAAAATTAAGAGGAGGAATCAAGCCATCTATGCTGCTGTGGATGATGATGATGCAGCATAAGACAATTTACTTTCTTAGTGTTATATGTAGATATGTGATTTTTGAGACCATATTTTTAGATTTGGATTTTTGACTCAAGATTTAACTTTGTAATAATGAAGTTACTTCAGAGAATTTTAGTTAGGTATTGACTTTGTCTTTAGTCCTTTGTATATTTCAGATAAAAATATTAAAATTTCATATATTTACTTGATCGAGTACCTTTTTTTTGAAGATGTATATTGTTCACTTTCATTTTTTCCAGCAAGCACTTACTGAATACCTACTTTGTACCAGGAACTCTTCTGTAAAATGGCACTAGAAAGACGAGTAGGACAGGGATTTTTACCTTCAAGGAGTTACTACCACTGTGAATATTTTGGTGTATAAAATATGGCATATTTATATTTTGTTTTGCAAAGTCATTACTACATGTGTAATTTTGTATGCTTTCTTTTTATTTGTTATAAATATTTTCCCTGGTGTGCTCTTAATGTCTGTCAAATATAATTGAAATTGAAGATGGTAGATACGGTTTCAGGAAATAAATTCCTTTAAATACTAAACATTGGTAAACATAAAATTTTACACTTAATTGCTGAGATTCATGCAACCTTGTAGACTTTGGCGTATTTTAGCTTTAGCTTTAATTTTAAAGTAGCTATAGTAACTGTGTACAGGTCATTTTGGACACAGTTCAGCTTAATATTAATTACTAGTAGGGATTGAGTTGCACAAAAGCTGCTCCTTTGCTGTTATGGATTGCTAGTAGTAGAATATTTTTAAAGATCTGCATGGAAAAACTATACTTCCATCCTGTGTCTGGTTAAGATGCCTGGGCCACCTGAGGAGATGGTTGCCCTGTGCTTGGAGCAGTAGCCATGAATTCAGAGTGTTCTAGGATGTCGTCATCCCGTAGTAGTCCACATCCAGGGGCCAATCTAGGAGAATGATTTAGCAGTTGGCTTCCATCTTGTCAGCATCTGACTTGAAGAAGGTCGAACACTTTATCTTTATTGCCATCTATTTTCTTTACTTTCTTTTTTGAGTTGAATATTTACTTATTTTAATTTTCATTATTTACATAAAGTATTTAAAAGCTATGGATTTCCCCCATCACTGACTTAATGGAATCCCATAGTTCTGATATTTAGGTCCCTCCCCCAAAATTCTTTAATAAAGATAAATAAAAGCAGAAAGTAATTAGATGTAAAATAAGTAACAGTTCATAAAAAAACAAAGACAGTCCTTTAGCTTTCTCAATCAAGAAAGAAAGCTCAAATGCCATAAATAAATAAAAGGGAGAGATAGCCAGTAAAAGGGTATTCAAACAAACATAAGATTACTCTCATAACTTGGTACAAATAAATTTGATAAATGATTACTTTCCTAGAAAAATATAATTCACTGAAATTCATCTTACTGGAGGTGGAAAGTGACAAAAATTTCCACAGAAGGAATAGAGAAGGTTATCAAAGAATTAACTCCCACAAAAAAGTGCTTGGCCCAGATGGTTTCAGGAGGAAAGTACCAAATAATCCCTAATGTTAGGTAAACTTAGAAAATGTAGAAGAATGAAGGAAAGTTTAGTTTTCTTTTTATGAAGCAAGTATAATGTTGATATCTAAATCTGATAAAGATTGTACCAAAAACCCCACAGACCAATCTCACATATGAATATTGCTGCAAAAGTCCTAAATAAAATATTAGTAAACAGAATCTATAGCACATTTTAAGGTAGTTTTAGCATGACTGATACAAAGATGGTTCAGTATTAGGAAATGTGTTTATATAACTTGCATTGTAGTAGATCTAAGAACAAACATCATAGTTTTCTCCATGGATGATGAAAAGACCTTTGGCAAAATTCAACACCCATTTCTGATTTTTTAAAAAGTAAAACCTAGGGGTACCTGCGTGGGCTGAGTTGGTTAAGCATCCAACTCTTGGTTTCCGCTCAGGTCATGGGTCTTGAGATGGAGCCCCATACTGTTGGGCTCCGTGATCAGCGGGGAGTCTGCTTGAAGATTCTCTCCCTCTTCCCTACTTCCCCTCTCCCCCTCTTTAAAAATAAATAAATCCTTAGGAAAAAAAATAAAATCTAGCATCTTGTGTAATGGGGATACACTATTGGCATTCTCATCAAAGGAAAGTAAGCAGAAAATCAAGGAAGGAGACAGGACATCAGCTACCTCCATTTTAACATTGTATTGGTGTAAAGAACAAAACAATTAGACAAAAGAAAACAATGAGGGAAATCAAGATTGCACGGAAGAGGCAAGTACATACAGATGACCTGAATGTTTAGGTGGAAAACACAAGAAAGTCAAAATTAAAACTAATACAGCACAGTAATAAGTAATACAGCAGCGTAATAAGATAAAAATTAGCATACAAAGTAATAGCTTTCACATACACAATTACCAATGACTGGTGTGATACAAACAATATCAAAAAGAAATACTTAACAAGAAATGTGCAAATCCTGTAAAGAGAAAAACCTTAAAATACACCCCAAAATGCAAAAGAAGACTTGAACTAATGGAAACATCTCTTATTCTTGGATAAACATTTTAAAGATGCCAATTCTTCCCAAGTTAATACGTAAACTTAACATGACCCCAATCAAAATATCAATACATGGTTTTGTTTTTTGTTTGTTTTCCTGGAGCTAGACAAGTTACTTTTAAAGTTCGTGTGGATAAATAATTTAAAACAGACAGGAATGCACCCCCTCCCCCCGGCCAAAGAACAGTAGATTATGCTGGCCATATCAGCTATTAAAACATACTATAAAACCTCTATAATTAAAACAATGTAGTATTGGGTTCATGAATGGACAGACCAATGGAACAGAAATACCAAAAATTGGCCCAAACATATGGAAAATTTTAGCCTATGATTTAAGTGGCATCTCTAACCACTGAGGAAAAAGGTATTTTAAATGAATAGGGTTGGATCTCTGCATATCCATTTGGAAGAGAAAAAACTTGTATATATATATAAATGTTTTTTTTTTT